CCTAGGAAATGTTCTGCCCGTTAACTCCCACCTGGGATGAGTGATCAGCCGAAGGTCAGGTCTTTATCTCTCATCCCTGAAAGCAGACAGAAGTAACTGAGGCTGAACCAGAAGATTGTTCTCCTGATAAAAAGCAGGGCAGACCCTGAATCCTGAAGGGACATCTTCCTCAAAGGCTGGGACAAAACCAGTTTGTCATAGTTTCAGTAAATCACAATCCCAGCCTAAGATAATTTTGTCCAGATCCTCATGCGTCTGAGCCAAGGGAGTTACCAGAGAGCATGATGAGCTATGACTAGGATGCTGGCTCCCATTTCTATTGATAAAATAATATGTTTGTAATATCCAGCTACACAAGTGAAAGCACTGTGCAAATCCATAGCTCTCAGAGCCCTCACCCTTCATGGTACTGCTGCTGACTGGAGAGTGTATGCGTCCCACAGCACAGCTTCTGGGCTTGGTCACAGTGAACTTCATTTGCTATACCAGAGGCGAAAATAGAAAAGAGTGTGAAAAGAAGCTGAGTCTTGCAATCAATTCATCAAACTGAGTGGAAATATCTGTGTGCTATACAAAAGATAATGACAGAAATTTGGTTTTAACTCCCTTCGCTCATCCTGCCCAGGTACTCATGTGTGAAATTACCCAGGGGGAAGAGGTATAAGTCAGTGCAGGAACCCCTACTGTCCTTATCTTTGATGGGCTGTGCAGCATATGCTACAAACTGAATTAGTTCAGAAAACAGAGAAGTTCATCAGACTGTACAGACCCACTGATGGCAGTAGGAAGGTGATAGGAACAGCCTGCCTGGAGAGCATGGGGAGTGTCAGCAGAAATATGGAACTAAGTGAATTTCACCTGATATGTAATTTTGTTCCTCTTCATCGGTGTAATTCTGAGGAGATCACTTCTCTGTAATATTTAAAATTTGAATTAATAGACCTGATTTTTTTTTTTTTGTTAAAATGTGGAGAATTTCTAGACAAGGTTAAGGGAGAAGGTAGTTAATTCATTTCATGACAATTCTAAATTTTCATTAGTCCTATAACAAAAAAAAATTAATTTTGAAGTCTTAAAAAGCACAGTTGGTTTCTGTAGGCTAGGGGCTGGGCTTCATGTTGCCTACCAAGAGATGCACTCTGTGGCTGCTGTTGTCAAATACAACTAGAACTGGAGCACTGCAGCTCCAGTAGTCTGCTCCTGTAGACTATTTCCAGTTCAATGGACCGTGTAAAAAAGAATTTGCATTTTCATAACCATTGTAATAATGGTCGTGATCATGATCATGATAGCTGAGTGATAAACCAAAATTAGCAAAACACTGAGTTTCTTTGTCTGTGTGGGCTTTTCTGCAGACTCGCATCTGTCTCTTTTTGTCACTTTGAATATTGTTTTCCCCTAGTGTCAGTGGTAATGTGGATGTGGACATCTGTGACAGTCAGAACTAGTTGTCTGCAAATTCCCTCTGCAGCAGGCAATGGTCAGTGCAGCATTTCCTAGCTGTGATAACAGTAATTCCTCTATGCCCTTTCCCCAGGCTTTCCCTTCTAAATTCCTGACCTGTGTACTGAAGCACGACTCTCTCTCTCAAGACCCAGGCATGAATTTACTGCTTTCTGAACAGCTTTTCTTTCTTTTTCCTTCTATCCTTACAGTCTTATCACTGTTGAAGATGATGAAATCAAATACTCTTTGCTCCCCATCAAGAAGTTTCTTTTGCACCCACCTTCTCAGGTGGATTACTTTAAAGCATAAGAATATCAAGTGGAAATAGTAGAAGTGTTTTAGCCTAGTGGTTTGATGATATACGAAATACAAGTTTTCAATGGAGATATAATAAGAAGTAGAGGACAAGAACTAGTGGGAAGTCAGTTTTGAAAAGTTGAATAATTCATTCTAGATTTTTAAAATTGTAAGCATTCAGATGCCTACATATTCATCTTTAGACATCTTGTGGTGCTTGACTTCCAGAATGCACAATCTTGATCCACTTGCAACAAAAATGCTGTGTATAAACTAAATTTCAAATGAGTTTTGTAAACTTCATTCACAATTGTATCTAGCATTGTTGTAAGGTATTTCATTAAAAATTAAAAAAAAAAAAAACAGATAAAAAAACACAACAAGCCACTGCAGATATGTTTGGGTTCTGCTCTTTTTTAATGTAAAAGATTTTGTGCATGGATAATAGAAAATCAAAATGATTTCACCATGTATTTAGTGTGGTCAACTAGACCTTACTGCAGCAGTGGTTTTCTGGCAGGGTTCTGCAGGAGCAAGCCGCCTGCTCCTGCACCTAAAAGTTACCGGGTGCCATTAGCTCTTCTGCTAAGCCTGACTGGCGAATACATTCAAGTACTGGGTCCCTAAAGAATGTCTTTTAGATAAATACCAGAAACATCCACTCACCTAGAATCAGTGCAGGTTTTGATACACTGAACAAGTCCTTGTTACAGATGTTATCTTGTTGCATTTGTCTAGGTTTTGCTTTGTTTATCTTCAAACTGACAGGCACCTAAAATTGGCTTGTTAGACACCTAAAATTAATGGTAGTTTAGTGTAAGCTATTTTCACAGCAGGTAGTAACATGTCTAGAGAAGAGATGGTTTTTATGTTTTCCTAATTTTTTAATGTTTGTAAATATTATTGTGTGTTCCATATTGAATACTTCCAGTTGGGAAAGCATTTATAGACACCCAGATAGCAGAGTGGAGAATCCATCGTGAGACGTGTAGGTCCGATTTAACTGTTTGATTTGACTACTCCATAAGTTTTGCCAGATGCCTTTCACATCAGTGATGAAATCTGAAATGTTATGGTAACTGGGACACTTACTTAGGTTTTCTCTGCAAAAGGAAGTCTCTGCCTTCTCCTTAGAGGATGATATCCCTATTTCCCATTTTTATTCTGTAATCCCATCTTTATTCAGTAACAAACTGTTACTGTCTCTTTTAAATGGAGAAGAAACTGAGGGTTATCTAAAATCATTTTGATTCACAGAAAGAATTCATAGGCTGATAAACAGTCCCAGGACCTGGGAGGGTTAGATCATTGGTTTAATCATAAATCACATAGTCTCTCAAGAAACTGTATGATAAGCAAGAGAGTTGGGCTTATTCACCCTGGAGAAGAGAAGGCTCAGGAAGACCTTAAAGAAGCCTTCCAGCATCTAAAGGGGCCCTATAAGGAAGGAGAGGGACTTTTTACAATGGCATGTAGTGACAGGACAAGGGATAATGGCTTTAAGATGACAGAAGGTAGATTTAGGTTAGATATTGGGAAGAAATTCTTTACTGTGAGGATGGAGAGGCCCTGGCACAGGTTGCCCAGAGAAGCTGTGGCTGCCCCATCACTGGCAGCGTTCAAGGCCAGGTTGGATGGGGCTTTGAGTAACCTGGTCTAGTAGAGGATGTCCCTGCCCATGGCAGGGGGTTGGAACCAGATGAACTTTAATGTCCCTTCCAACTCAAACTGTTCTATGATTCTTTGATGTACATATGTACCTATCTATATAGCTATGGGATCTATAGTAAAATTATTTAATGATACAAAAATATGAGTTATTATTTGGTTGCCTACTGTAGGGTGTGTGAGACCCTTTAGCTTATCTGAGCTGAACAATTTCTACCCATGCTACTGTTTGAACAGCTTAGAGTTACCCTGTTTAACATGGAGGGAAGTGGGATTTGGAGAGGTGTACAAATTTGGATATTTTGAAAACATCTTTTCTTAGAGTAAATATGATTTGTTGAAAGTAAGAAACAAGTCAGAAAAATGAAGCACAATATTATTCTTAAGTAGCTTTTTCGCCAAAGAAAGGAATTGCACACTTCCCTCTCGGTTTGATACTGCAGTTTTGTACAGGGTAGCAATTAAAAACTGATCTTCCCTTGCTCAGTTTCTTAGGAATAGCTCTTTCTGCTGGTTTTGAATGTCTCTCTCTTGCTGTCTCTTAATAGTGAATCTTACCAGGTCAACCCTTCAAAATGTACATGTAGACATAGCAGTACAGTGTGCCTGTAAACCTTACCTTCAATAAACTATGAAGATTTCAGCTAGAGGCCGAGGAACACAGTACAGTGAACAACAGTTTTTGTATTTGATGAACTAAGTCTGCATCCTCCCATCACACTGCGGGCTTCACTGCCATACTAATAGGAGGAAAATACCCATTGATTTCAAGGGGCTTTGAGTCAATCTGACAGAGTATTGAGAAAACCCAGAGATCTCTCATATACCTACAGTATGTACTCCTGTATTAACCTTACTAGCAGCCCTTCTACACCAGTGCTGCGGAGAGCTGCTAGAGAAAACAATTCAGCCTTAACCTTGTTTCTGAAGAAGCTAAAGATGGAATTGTTGTAGGACTTGCTATAGGATGCAGGTCTCTGCACTAGCTGTGCATAGATACCAAAGACAAATGATTCACAGGCCTTTGTTTAGATTTCCCCCGGCTTTGTCCAAATCCTTTCTCCCAGGCTGGAGAGCTGCCACTATGGGGGACACTGCCATGGAAGGAATATTACCAGGCAAAAGAGCCCACTGGCAGGAAGCCCCAGAGAGGAATGAGAAGTATGGCCAGGAGGAAGGATATATGGTAGAGCTGGAGCCATGAACTAAAGCAAAGTGAATTGGTTTTGGCTAGGCAGCTACTAGAGCAAGAAAGAAGAGCACATTTAGCTGCTGAAAGCCCCACAGATTCCTCACAGCAGGACACAAGGCAATCACAAATCTGGCTGGCACTCTGGTTATACAGTGAAGCAAAGCCAACTGGCTGTTCAGGGTGAGAAATTCAGGCATAAGGTGGGAAAGAGGGACAGTGGGAAACTAAGGAACTAGTTCCTGGCTTGGGAGACTCGATGCAGTTGGCTTCTGAGTTTTGCTATGGCTTAGTCAAATCCACTGTTGCCAAATGGTACACAAGTTCACATGCGAAGAGGAAATGGGGAGGAAAGTACTGAGAGCAAAATTGAACTGAAAATGGGGACAAAAAAAACAACTGGAAAATGCTTTGAAATTATTGACTTGGGTTTGATTGCCACAGGGGGGAGATCTAAGCCTAAACAGGCCTTTCAGGCCAGTGTCATGTGGGAGGAATTCAGCAAAAGCAGGGTGAGGTTCCACACTGTCTTTGTGCCTGATGGGACAGCTGGATGGTTATTACATCAAGTCATACTGCCAGATGACACGTGAAGACCTAGTGACATTCCTGGAAAAAAGCAATTAAGAGCTGATAAAAAGCAGCACTCTTCCTACCCTGCAATCATGACACAATTTAAACTTTCCCCATTACTATACTAGCTGTGGGAAACAGAACCACATACAGATATATCACCATGGGTTCTAAATCCAGTGTAACACCATGGGTTCTATGTCCAAAGCTTTCAAAGATACTGTGGATTCTGTAAAAAAGCCAAACGCTTCCTTTTGTAGGTTATTAAATGACAACAAATTAGCATCACTAAAAAGTTAGCTTTTTAAGTAAAGTTTTAAGTAAAATTTGCTTTCTCCACCATGATTATTTCTTTAAATACAAAAAGCAGAATTGCTAAAAGCTTCCAAGATAATACAGTCCACCCAGTCTATCCATTTTGTGCCATGCTAAAGTGATCCAGAAGAAATACATGGAGCATCCATCAAAGCATAGTCATTTAGGATTGAAAAACAGACTTGCAGATACCTTCATTTAAAATAGTGAGGTACTTCATGAAGCAGCTAGTAACAGGTTGCAGCTGGTTGTTGATTTTCAAGTACAGATCCCTGATAGTTGCAGAATACAGACACGTTTTAAACTCCCATTGAATACAAATCAGTTCTATATCCCTACCAACCTGTTGGTGAAGCAATTTGTCCTTCATGGCTTCTCACACACAGCATGCAAGAAGAAATAACTTTTCGTCTGTGATCAGGAAACAAGTCAAATGGTCTTTAAAGCTGTTTATGTGTCCCCCATAGAAGGAACCCAGTATTGAAAGCTAATATACAATGGTCTGTGCTTTTGAAATCCTGCCTTTGCCTTTACTTTTATCTTCAAGAACTAACGTACTGCCAGAAACGTTATTTGTGTTGTATTTTTAGTCCAGGCACAATGAGTCTGTACATGTCAGAAAATTCCGGCTGACGTCTGATCCAGTGAAGCTGTGTGCCAATATATGTGTACTTGAGCTTTTGGTTAACTGCCATCCATATATACTTTCAAATCTCTTGAGGTCAGCCTACAGCATATTTCACAGCTGAAATTCATCCTGTCCAAACTCACATTAAATCTTCTAGCATCTGCTTTCTTTTTACAAGCCAGAGAAGCTGCCTTTATGAAAATAGGTATTTTTTTAAAGTATATAGGTTTTCAATGCTTGTTTAATTGTTTATTTAAGTATATTCTTATATTACCAACAGCATGTTATACTTCACAGACATGTGGTTTAGGGGTGATCAACTTCAGATTTGTCTACTACCTGTCAGACAACTGTAGATGATAGTACCCCACACTGGAGCTAGAGAAACTTGAAATCAGATAAATAGTTGGCAGAGAAGTAGTTTTGTCTAAAAGCATGACAAAATTGGCTTTGGATCTGTGACCAGAATCCAGCTTTCCCAAGTCCCATCTACTTAGTATGCCTGGGCCATGGCAAGGCATTGATTATCTGTTGGTTATGGAAGACAGGAGAGTTGATGGGAGCAAAACAACTTTCAGAGAGACATTCCCATAAAAAGTCATCATTGCTGTGGTAGGGGGTTTGTTCTGTGCAGTGCATTCCAAAACAAGAATCTGTGTGTACCTCTGCTTGTGGGCCTTCGTGAGCTCAAGATAACTGGTGCTGTGTCTAATGACTCTCTTCTTATTTCTGCTTAGTTTTCAGGACTTTACTTGTTGTCATTCTTCACCATCCTTGTTGGGCTGGTGCTCTACTCCTCCACATCCACCTATGTAGCCCAGGATCCTCGGGTGTACAAGCAGTTTCGAAACCCTTCAGGACCTGTTGTAGACCTGCCAGCGACTGGCCAGCTGGAGCCTTCAGTAACATACACCAGCCTGGGGCAGGAGACAGAAGAGGAGCCTCATGTTAGAGTTGCTTAAACGCAGGGCCGTTGATCACCTACTGATGATTCAGTGGAGCTCGTATATCCGCTATCTCTGTATTGTACATAGAGAAAGGTATTTACCAGGTGCAGTTACACCGGTGAGCTGCAAGGTAGCAAATAAGGAAAGCTCATAAAAATACAAATTACTTGTTCCAGAGTGTTCATTGCAAGGAGATGCCAGTCCCTCATTTATGATGTGAGCAGCATGTTTGCAATACAAACTGCTGTATATGAATCAGTTAATGTCAAACTGCCTGTGGAAGATAGTCGGTATCTAAGATGAAATTACATAAAGAAGTTCACAGAAGGGTGTTTCTGCACCCACTGAGTGATATTATGTCTAAGCCACACCAGTTGTGGAAAAGCCGCCTTTTTACAGCAAATACACTTGTGCAGTCCACTGTTAATTTCTCTCTAAGAGTTGTTTGCATAAAGTAGATGGGTTAGTCAGGGTAGCAACAGCCTGACACACTTTTACTAGCTCCTTGGATCTGGTGAAGAAAAGACAATTAATTCATCTGTAGTATCTGTCTAGTTGACCTTTCTAGGTAATCTGTTCCATGAATCCAGAGAAGGGACAACTTACAATATCTGTCTCTATTCTAGGAATAGGTATAAGGCGAGCATTTTAGCCTTTCTATATTTGCAGAAGTGAAGTACGCAAGCATTGACCTCTCTGTGAACCATGGCAGATTTCCTAGCAGCTGAGGTTCTGCATGAGGTGATGGGGAGTTAGTTTCTCTGTAGTCGTGACTTAACACGGATTTCTTACTTTTTAAACTTTAATCTGTAAAGAGAAAAACACATTTTCTAGTTTCCTATGTATTGTACCTCTCCATGGTAAGATGACAAACCATGTGGATCAGGGCACTCATTTTAGATACTCAGTGCATCGAGGGCACTTTCTGCTGTTCCAGTTTGCTGAATCTCCTGTGGTTCACTATTCTAACAATTGCTATTTAGAAATGTGTCTGCTTTTTTTTACCAAAACCCACAAATTGTAAAAATCAGGAAGATTAAGCAAGGAATTCATGAGCTGAAAGTGTGGACCATCTGCTGGTGTTGCTGCAGTAGCTCAAAGGCAGTCATACCAGCAGGGTGCAGCCAGTTATTTTTCACCAACTACAAAACTAGCAGAAGAATTCACCAGTTTACTTACATTCCTGGAGACATGTGAAAATTGTAACGGTGTGCTCCACAACTGTACTTCTACCCCAAGAGCCTTATCAGAATGGGGGATATCAGTCACCACCACAAAGAATCCATCTCTGCCTGTATGTTTGCTCTTCCGAGAGCTCAATAAAAGGAAATTATTATTTCAATATCCATCACTTATTTGCAATTTAAAATTAAGGAAGGAAGGAAAGGTGATCTTAGGTCTAACACATAGGAGAGGGATCCAGGAGAGCTCAGTTTTGTTCACAGATCTGCCACATCTCTGCATGATCCTTGGGCATGACTTACCTTCTGTGTGGCTGTTTCCCAATCTCTATAGATGGGAATAATCATATTTTACCTACCTCACAGGGGTGCTATGGGACCAAGTTATTTTAAGCTGCTTCGGGATCTTCAGAAGGAAGGAGTTTAAGTGCACAATAGCACTGTAAAAGTGTGTATACATTCATTGTATTTGAAAATTGAGTTTATGACAGGGTTGATGAATATTTAGCTTATGGGCATAGAAGATGAATTTGATTTGAATGCTGCTCTGCTGAAGAAGCCTGTCTGAAGTGAAAATGTAGGGCTTCACGTTTGAAAAATACAACTTACCTATTTCTGTTTTAAAAAGAAAATCAAGCTATCTGTACTCTGGAGATTAGAAAGGCCACACAGTTCAACCAAGCAGGATCAATTTCTGCTGAGGTAACATTCATCTTTTATAGTCCTGTTCTGCTTTAATATAGAAGGGACTTCCCTGAAGCAGACTAGGAGAAGTATGTATGCGTAATATACAAGAAGTGGCAAATGCCAGAATGCTATTGAACAGCAGAAGTATGTTGTATCTTACTGTCACTGTGGAGGAGAAGAGGAGATTTCTGTCCCACTGTGTTTAGGCTGCCTGACACCATCCTGCTGCAGCTGAGGGAAGGGTCTGCAGCATTCACAAACTGTGCCCAAAACTGACCCAAAAGCTTCAGTTAAGATGGCTTGGATTTAAACAAATACATGACTTTTTTCCACCCAACCTTCTGTTTATTTAATCTTTTTAGCACTGATGTTTCTAAGCTTTTTTCTCTTAAATCATGGAGGATTCAAATCAAATAAAGCTTCCTATAGAGAAACAAGAGTCCACGTTTTGGGGATGCTAAGAAAGTCTAAATCCTACAGGATTTAAAAAAAAAAAATAAAAACACACGAGAAACATTAAGGTCCATAGGGTAAAGTCCAGGTGGGAAGTGCATAGTGAGGTGAAGCCCTGATGCACAGGGGCCAGCAAGCATCCTCCAGTCAAGCCTGGCAGAGCTTCAACTTGAGGTGGGTTTTGCACACTTCCCAGGAGCAGGGGTTCTGGTTACAACCACTATGGCTCCCTCAGGTACTCAGAACCACACTGATGGGAACCTGTCATTTCAGTCTTTTTTGCTACCTTTATACCAATTAAATACCTTTCTCTGAATGTTTGTCCCTGTGTTGGTCTGAGAACCTTGAGGATTGTGTGTGTGTGTGTGTTTCATGTTTACAGTTCCTTCCTTTTGCATAATTGTTTTGGTTCATTCCATTATTAGTATTTATTTTTAAGCCAAATGTTTGTGGTCCTTCTGCCTCCCCCTCCTCATTTTTCTGACCCTAACTTGTAGATGTTTGTTAGAGTCTTCTCAGAAACAGCAGGGCAGGAGGCATCTGCCGACCAGGTCACTGGGCTGGGAGTTTCTACTTAGAAGGGTTTGTGATCCACAAGTGGCTGAGAGGTGCCATCTGAAGCAGTTTTTACAGGCTATCTTCAAAGGCTCTGTTGTACGGAAAGAAGTTACGAATGATTCGGTGTGTACTCTGCACCCAGCCAGCATCCCCTGTGATACTCACGCAGGAGGAGTCTGATGTGCAAAGTGGGGCTGCTACACTGTCTGTGTCTCCTGTTGAACAAGGTGGATACTTGAGTTAGCACCAGTGTGCTCGTGGTGGATGAACTGTAAAAGGAAAACGGTAGTAGAGCTTTACCAGTGACTGTGTTGACTGAAAAACTGAGGTCTAGTAAAGGAAAACATTACTTCTACCTGCTTGTTTTCTGCAGTTCAAGACCTGTGTGCACCAGCAAAGGTTCTGCTATCTAACCGGCAGCTATCTACTCTCTGTGTCACGTAGGACGTCTCTATCTCTGTATAGCTCCTTGCCTGAACAAACTGAAACTCTTGTTATACTGCTGGCCTTGAGCAGCCTTTGGCAAGACTGATGTAATTTTCTGCTACTGGATGAAAATCTTCACTGGGAGACAGACCCTGTCTTTGTTCCAGCTATAAAGTTTTGAAACACACAACGATAGACCAAGCAATTGAAGATTTTGCACCACTGTGTCATAAGAAGTTTCAATGTATAGTGTAGAGATTGCTAACTTGTGCTATTAACACTTTGACAAGCGTGTAGTAACGTTTTCTTTCCTTTTTTTTTTTAACCGTTTAGTATTCCTGAGCTAGCTACAAATACAAATTTTACCCCATGGGTAGGATTTTATTGTTAAATGCCATAATAAAGCACACTAATCTTGACAACGCAGATGGAAATATGAATCAAAACCAAAACTGAGCAAACAGAATCCCAACCCCAAGTCCTGCATCAAAAAGCTGAACAAACCTTTCTCCATTTTTATATTTGCATGCACCTATATGGACTGGCTGTGGCAATGTAATGCCTGTATAATGTTTTCAAATAAAAAAAAAATAAATGCTTTATGAAAGCAGGGTTATTGGTTTCCTTGCCTGTTTCCTTTGTATTTTCTTAGCCTGAAACAATTTTTCTGATGGTAAATCTTACTGCAGGACATAATTTTTTGCTGCGTTGAGGATTTCTTTTTGTTGTGATGTGGTTCACCTACAACTCCATCCAAGATGTCTTGGCATTGCTGCCATTAGGCACCGTCAGGTATCTTGCCTGGCCCCCAGTTGCTGTTCCAGAAGGATAAGAGGTTTCCTGTGCAGGATAACAGGTCTCCTGTGCACCCAGTAAACTGCCATTCCCCTATGGCTAGCTCAGGTATCCTGATATTTGTTGGTCTCATTTGGACACAAAAGCACTCCCCCCACTGCCTTACAGAAATGATTAATCAATCTAGAATTAATGTGGGGCAATGCATGTGTATGATGTTAAAGGGCTTATCTGGCAGAGGTTATTGAGTGTCTCCGGCTGCCTTGCCCAGCCCTCCCTTCTGGCTGCCCTGCACTGCACTGCAGCACTCTTCACAGCAGTCCTGAAACAGAGACAAAACTTAGATACTGGGGGGGAAGGACTGTCAGGAGGCGCAGAACTGAGGAAAGGAAGAAAATGAGACTTTGGCTCATTTGAAGTCCAGATGGGAAGAAAGGAAAGGAAGATCCTAAGTGTGAGAGCAAGGGATTTTGTGAACATGCATTCACCTCTAAGAGTGTTTGCCAGCACACCCATTTGCCCATCTCTCCTTGCCTGATGTCTCTGCAAGAAGTTTCTCATTGGTATTTCTCACATACTTCATTGCTGAGAGTGAAAAAAGGGAACAGAGACTGGTGAGCTCATTTCTAGCTTTCCTCTGCACCATAATTGCGTGCAGCCCCTGACATTACAAAGCCAGCAGTGCTGCACAAATGGGCTGGTTTATGTCTGATTTTCCAGTGGGAATGTTTCCTAAGCTATCAAGAGCTCCAGAAACTGAGTTGGTGTGCATGGCTTTGTCATCCTAACAGTTGGGTTTGTATTTTCCTCTGAATCTGCTCAGGAGTCGATCTGGCATTACAAAAATCTCCTTCTGTTGCCTGGCTGGAATTCAGCATGGGTGCTTGAGTCATATGAATAGTAATTGCTTGGAATTACTCTAAAAATACATCATAAATAGGCATTAATGGATCCTTCTGTGCTTAAATCAAACATGTTTCAACACTGAAGGACACTCAATCAGCTTAAACCTACCCATCTCCCTTTTGTTTTTTGTTTATTTAGAGCTAGTTCTCCAAAATATTACAAATCCGAAGCTGAATGTTTAACAGCAATATGCTATGGCATACAAATAAGAAAGTGATGCTTTTTTACAGTCGCAAGAACTGTTTTGTTAAGTCTGCTCCACCATTTTAAGACGAAAAAAAATGCACCAAACCTTTGCAAAAGGGAACACTTATGCAGCCATAGACGGGTTTCACAGCAGTTGCAATGTGGGTACCAAATGTTAACAACACAGCAGTGATGATGATATTGGAATAAGAGTGTTGGCCATGTCATCATCCTCCTCCAATTTTAAGTGCAGGGTCATGGACTGACTGTGGTACTTAATAATAAAAAATCCTGCTATATGGAGGACATTAGTTCCATAGGGCTGGGATCACTAACCAGCGATTAGTTGCCACCAACAGGAGACAAAACCCCACAAATTGACTACAGAAAGGCAGTTGTAACCCTCCGACATTGTTACTTGCATTGCAGCTGCTATTTTAGTTTCAGTAAAAAGCCCACAGTGTTTCTGCAGGCCACATTGCTGGCACGGAGCAGCCACCACAGCCTTGGAAAACACCATAGGTGCCCTGTGGTCTCATCAGGTCCCTGCTGGGTGAAGGGAGGACCCACTGCACTGCCTGTCACTGGCATTTCCCTTGGCAAGCAGGACCCCCTGCTACCACTGCTACTGTACAGCAACCAGGTGGAAGAAAAAAATTTGGCTCAGAGTAACTCTTGAGGCTCAGAATTAAATGATTAAACGTCAGCACTCTGTGCAGTCCTTTCTGTTGTAAAAGTGCACATTTGCTATTATTTGGAGGCTTTTTTTTTTTTTTTCATATCTTAGAAGTTCCATTTTTAATTGAAAATTTTGTATTGAGTTCCTCTGGTATTCATGAGGTTAGAATTTGCCCCTCTATGCATAATCTTATGTTGGCAGAATCTCTGTAAGAGTACAGGTAATCATATATGCTATCCAAATATTTTTAAATCAAGACTAGGTAAAGCTGATTTTAGTGGATTTCTAGATTTTATACTACTTAGGTTCTGATTTATAACCTTCATCTATAGTTAAGTTTTTGTGCCTCCTTATTACGTACAATGCCCTCAGGCAATTGCCCAGTGCTACCCTGATCTCAATGCATTATTAATTCCTTACTGGCAAAAAATACATTATTTATACTTACTATTGCATTTTACTCCCCATGTCTCAACAGCAGTGGACTCATCCAATCTGAACATAACTACAAAGCTGTCCATATGAAATCTTCCCCTCCTTGCCAAGTGAAATACAGACTTGCTTGTCAAGAACAAAGTATTTGACTTACCATGGATAAATAAAGGACTTTTTTATTCACACACCTTACCAAAGCAGACAGATAACAAACATGTGCTGGGTTTACGTGATCACTGAGCTCTGAAACACTACGTGATTCAACTTAAAATGCTAGAGACGCTTTGCATACAAAATAGCTTGGACTTTTACAGGTGCAGAATGCCTGCGAGCCCACAGATCAATGTTATGTGAGGTCACACATATTTAACTTCACACTGACCATAGTGGCCACTGTCACAGAAGCCTGGCTTTTTCCCACATCCATAGGGAACAGGCAATCAGTGTATGCATATTCTTAAAATGACTACTTGCCTAAATGAGCTTCCTAAGTGAGAAGGGGGAGGGGAATGGGCTAATCACGACAACAATCTGAAAAGTCTCATTACGTGACTCCCTCTGAGCTTCAGCTTGAATTATCTGATGTAGTTCTTGGCATTAAACAACTGCAGATGGTAAATAGGTCACACATGTATGCAACCAGGGGAGTGTATTTCAGAAGTCTTTATGTCCCCACACTTCCTCTGTGAGCCTACACTTTAATTAAAAGAGAGTACCCACGAAACAGGATGACAACTTTAGTCCTTTAGAACTGTTGCAGTTCAGCGCTTCCACCCTTCAGCCTTGCTCGGCAAGCTTTATTTAATAAGCAAGTTGATGAGGAACATTAGCACTGCAGGCCCTGCTTTGACATTGCATCCTAGGAGCACACCACCTCCTGTGGCAGGGTGCACCATGCAAGTGGGCCACACTGGCCAGCAAAGCATTTGAAAACCCAAAATTTTATCTTTAGTTTAGTCTTGAGCTTTAATACAACAAAAACCAAAAGGAAACGGTTTTAAAGTGGAACAGGCATGTATTGAATGAAAGGAAGAGGATAGCACGTAGCTTCCTCATCTGACAAACTTTTTCCCCAAGTCAATCACCATCCGCCTATTTCCACATGGCAAAGACAACTGCTAAGCTCATCTTCTCTGCCCTTTTGCTCCAAGTTAGTCACGCTACCTTTTGCAGCTCTGTCCTAAATGAATTCATGCACATCCTCAAGACCCTTAGCTGTCCTGTCTCTCCCTCACAGTCTGCCACCATGGTGTGGGTCCTCTGTCTGCTCTGTGACCTCTCAAACAAACATCTTTCTGCCTTCTTGCTTGTGTAGTCCAGCCAAATGGGCTTTTGGCCATGGAATATTTGAATAGGAGCTTCTTTTGATATCTATATGAATGTCAAATTCCAGCCCTGCTCCATTGCAACTGGAGGGTTTTTTTTTGGAAGGGGGATGTGTGTGTGATTGAATATATAATGCCCCTCCTTCCGATCTACCTTATGGTATGCAACCAGTCATAAGAGATTCAAAATAATCATGTCCTTTTGCCTGCCATTTGACCTACAGTGAAGGTGAAAACTTGTTTGCTAACACTGTCTCTGACTTTTAAGTTAAGAGGGTTGGCTGGTGAAGGATGATCTATGGGTATCCTTGAAGTCACTGACAAGTCAGTAACAAAGGAAGCTGACTAGACACATTTGGACTGTGCAACTGATGGTAACCTAGGTTATCCTTTCCTGATTGAAAATACAAGCATAAAAATCAAAATGCTTCTCCATCTTGTAATTACTTTAATTATTTACAGAGATTACATTGACAATCCATTCACATATACAGGGACTGGCTTCTTCTTCCCACATCTCACCTGCAGCTTGTGTTTTCCTCTCCAGCCTCTATGCAGCTGGTCACATAAAGGAAAATCTTAATTCCATTAATTACAAGAAAAGGCAGCATTTATCCAAGGTATAACTGTGCTTGAAAGCTCACAACTTCTTTTTCTCCTTGTACAAGTGACTCCTTTGAGCCATATTTGGTGCAAACATGAACTGTGGCTGAGCTGGTGTTTGTCATGGCAGGCTGGGAGCAGGACTGTGGATACTCAGCCCCCAAACCTAAATCTTCACTTCTACCTCAGACCTCAACTAATGAGAGAGGGTGCGGAGACAGACACAGCTGAGCTTTTTTTATTTCCCCTGGGTGAGGGAGGGAAGGACATGTGCTCAGGACAGAGAGAGAAACCTTGGGCTGCTACAGCTGCTTGATTTCAAATTGTGTCTAGACACGGGGCCATGCTCAGCACAGCCAGCAGCCTGGCACCTTCCACAGGTTTACTTTAGCTGGAATTACTGTTGTAAGCTGCTGAGCTAAAGAAAGTAATTGCAGCAGCTGCACTAGCAACGGCTTGTCTCCACTGCTGTGAAAAGGGAAACATCACTGCCAGCTATAGCACAGGTATTCTAACATGACAAGGGAATACTGATGGACTTTGCTTTGAGCACACGTCATGAAATATCAGGGAGAGGCCACATGTTCATTAGAAAAACAGCAGCATTCCCACTTTAACTTGTGCATTTTCTTTGTGAGTTTGCCATGCTTTTTGCCCACACATGGCACCAGGAGATCTTTTCCACGTTGGTGTTGGAGATTTAAGGTAAAATGCAGATAAAGAAAGGCTGAAAAAAAAAAATCTTTGGCAGCGCAAGACACTTTCAGTCACATGAAATTCAGTCCTGCACCTCCTTTGCATAGTAAGCATTCCAGGCAAGAAGGCATCTGCAAGGCCAGGTCCAGACTCCTGCAGCTCCCTGTGATGGTGAGGTACCTTTACAGTCATGAAAGGTAAAGACACAGCAGTGGGGAAGAGAGGCAAGTGGTGATTATGGGCAGAGGGGGAGAGGGGTCTCTTGGGATGGAAAAGGTTGTAGGATGAACATGAATCGTGAAGGAAAGAAAGGCTGGGGGCAGAGGGGCTCTTGTCTGGGGAAATACTTAAGAGGCTGAAGAGGGGTGGGAGAGAGGTTCATCACCCTGCCTGCTATGAACACTGAAAAATCTGAGGCTCTAGCTCTCCCCTTGACCAGCAGTGGCTGCAGGGGAAACGTGCTCTGTCCTCATCCTCACCTCCTCCTGTCACAGGAGCATCTGCTCCTTGCTTCAGGCAGCTGTCTCTTGATTTTATAAAGCAGAGAGTCTCTTCCACACCACAATGTCACTTCTGTTGACTTCTACTAACACTAAAAAGTAGGGAGTTCTACTCTTACCTGTTCCAACTGGGTTTTACTGGTGCTATGGCATGGCCTGCCTTACCACATGGCAGTGCTTTGCCTGCGGGGCTCCCATATGCATACATACCATACCTTCTTCTGAAATCAAGGTGGAAATAGAAATGAGCTGCATGTGTAGGTGGCTCCTCTTTAGAAGCTGTATCTTAAACTGCTTGCGTTGGATGTGTGCGTACCAAAAAACATTGCCAAAGTCAATGAACAACCTTTCCCAGATATTCAAGACAGAAGAAAAATTGCTCAAACAAGAATGACAGTGTGGCAAGGGACTTTGTTCTCATTGTCAGGCGAGGTATTCTTGTTGCCCTGCTTTTTGGCATTTTTTTCCTACCAATGGCCCCCACCTCAAATTAACTCTTAAAAATGTGTATCGATGTATGAGGAAATATTGTTGCTGTACTAGGTGTTTGTATGATGACCTCTGGAGAGAGGTCATCTTTGTGAACCTGTGAGATGGCCAGTATGTCTGAGCAGAGGGAAAATAACCCACCCTAGTCTGCTATTTTTCATTTCACATTGTTGATACTGCCTGTCTTCTGACTGTTCTTTGCACAAGCTGAATGACAACCAGGGAGTGTGTTTGAGGTACTGTAAGAGTAGTGCCTGGAGTTTGCCACTGACACTTTCATGAGAAGTGATGGTTACTTTCTGTTAGTTATTTCAAAATATTTTGTTTGGAAGAATTTTAAGACTTCTAAAATAACTCAGTGTTGTTAGCAGCAGTTCTGGACAAAAACAACTTCCAGATCTTATGTTCAGTGTTTCCCCTCCTGCGTATCTCCTTACTTTGCTTGCAACAGAGCTAGGAAATAAAGGTGTCACTTCTTTCATTGCTCATTCTGCAGGAAGAAGGAATAATGAGTGGAGAGAAATAAAGGGAGAAAAAACTGTTTTGGCTCTGTGGGCCTCTTGTGTGACAGTTTCATCTCTGTAACTGCAGGTTCATAAGGCAGGAAAGCTATGACTACCCTGTGCTCTTCCTCTCCCTAGGCCTAGTGGTGTGCCAGAGTCATTAACAGCAGAGCCAAAGGGGTCCATTTTGATTCACCATAAAGAAAAGAAAGCGAAGCAGCACCTATGAGAGCACGCTGAACAGAAGCTGGCAACCACTGACCAAGACCTTTTTGAATCTGTAAATGTCACTCATGCATTTTGAAGAAGTAACACAGCTAAAATGCTTGGGCATTCTGACTTCCATGAAATGAAAGGTGTGGTGCTCAGGAAATAAACCAGATGGTCACATCATCAATTGACAAGTGCAGAAGGAATGACCCCCAAATGGAGGATGTCTATGCAGAATTGCCCTCAGATTGCAATAGCACCTACTAGGGATCAAAGCACATCTTCTGTGAGAGCTGCTGTACTTCTAAGGCAAAGCCATCAATCCACAGCCCCACCGAATAGATTTTTCTGTAAGGACCTTTCAATTGCAGCTGGTCATCTAAGCCTGGCCTTTGCATGTACAAAGTTGATTTTCACTTTAGCAGTTTAACATGCAACTATTTGTAATTATATTACCTAGACACAAGCAAAACTCTTTTCAGCCTGCTGAGGATGTAACAGGTGATGCTCATTTGCATACTGGAGGTATTTGTGCTACCCAGTAGTGCTTCAAAAGAAAGAATATTTTACTTGTCTCTTACAAAGTCTAAGACTTTGACTTGTCACCTGGAGAAACATGCTACTTATCGCTAGATCTGAATGTTTCTATGCGCTTGCAAAGCTATATGTAAGAGCTTGTATACAGCATAGCTGTATACACAATATTGCTCCATATATCTTGTGGGTGACACGTGTACTATGCCCATTTGGCTTTCATACTTTCTTCCTACTGAGGCAAGTGATCAGTGCTAATTCTGAGTGATGGCAGAGCTAAGTCTTGTTTCTGGGTCTTGCCACGGTGATGATTTAATAATTTAACCTGCCATGATTTTATATCCTTTTTTTTTATTTTTGCTCTGTATTTACATCGCTGCTCTGAATATCCTTGGGGTATAAGAGCTCTTGAGGGAGCCCCAAGTCCTCGACAGGACCTGCCCAGGAGCCGGCAGCTCAGCTGACGGGAGCGAGCAGCTGACTCACAGGGGGCGGAGCCAGGAGCAGCGGCACCGGCCCTGACTGGGTAAAAACCTGCCCCAGGGAGGGCGGTGAGGCAGTTACAGAGCGGGCAGGTGAGCACCCGTCGTATGAGCAGGGCCCGGGCTGGGAGCTCTGCTCTGGATGCCCCGGCGGTGGCCAGGGTAGGCACCAGACAGAGCCGAGGAGAGGGGAGGCTGCAGTGCAGAGCTCGGGGTGTAGAGAGGAGAGTGCCTGCACTGGTCCCGTGAGGAGGGGGTGCGCAATGGGCAGGGCTGCACTCGGTGCTCCCTGGTGGAGGTCCTCCTGCAGCAGGGGCTGAGCTGCGGGATGCTGTTAATAGGCTGCGAGATGTCAGGGAAGCCGAGAGCAAGCAGGAATGCTTGCTCCAGGCCCAAACTGAGCAGGGGCCTCGAGCTTCACCTGTACCTCATGAAGGAAAGAAGGAGGCCGTTAACCTGGGAAGCTGGGAATTAGTGACAAAAAAAACCAACAAAACAAAAATACAAAAGAAAAAAAAAAGGAGGAAAAGGACAACTAAAAGCAAGGGGCTTCCCCCTAAATCCCCTGTCCCGATGCAGAACCGCTTTGCTGTCCTCCGGATGAAGCACTCTGTAGACAGACAGGAAAAGCCTCACACTTGCAGGCTGATGTTCTCATGGGTGACTTCAACCACCCTGACATCTTTTGGAAGGACGGTACGGCCCAGCACAAGCAATCCAGGAGGTTCCTCGATTGTGTAGAAGACAACTTCCTTCTGCAAGTAATAGAGGAGCTGACAAGGAGTGGTGCCATGCTTAACCTCGTGCTCGCCAACAGGGCAGGGCTCGTTGGACGTGTGACGATCCAGGGCAGCCTTGGATGCAGCGATCATGAGATGCTCGAATTTGAGATCCTCAGGACAGTGAGAAGAGCGTGCAGCAAGTTCATTGCCCTGGACTTCAAAAGAGCAGACTTTGGCCTCTTCAGGAACCTGCTTCGGAAAGTTCCATGGGATACAGCCCTAGAGGGCAGAGGGGCTCAAGACTGTTGGTTGATATTCAAGGATCACCTGCTACAAGCTCAGGAGTGTTGCATCCCAACCAGAAGGAAGTGCAGCAGGAGGGCCAGGAGACCTCCTTGGATGGATAAGGAGCTGCTGAGGAAAATTCAAATGAAAAAAGAGGCTTATAAAAGGTGGAAGCAAGGACAGGTGGCATGGGAAGAGTACACGGATGTCGTCTGGGAAGCTAGGGACCAGGTTAGGAAAGCTAAGGCCCAGTTAGAATTAAACTTGATTAGGGATGTTAAAGATAACCGGAAGGGATTCTACAGGTACATAGCAAATAAAAAACAGACTAGGGAGAATGTAGCCCCCCTCAGGAAGCTTTTAGGAGAACTGGCTACACAGGATTTGGAGAAGGCTGAGGTTTTTAATGACTTCTTTGCCTTGGTCTTCACTGGCAAAGGCTCTGACTGCACCACCCAAGTCTTGGAAGGCAGATGCAGGGACTGTGAGAATGAAGACTTTGGGACCACTGTAGGAGAGGATCTGGTTCGAGACCATCTTAAAAATCTGAACGTGCACAAGTCCATGCGTCCTGATGAAATCCATCTGCAGGTCCTGAAGGAGCTGGCAAATGAAGTTGCTAAACCACTGGCCATCATATTTGAGAAATCATGGCAGTCAGGTGAAGTTCCCAATGACTGGAAAAAGGGAAATATAACCCCCATTTTCAAGAAGGGGAAAATGGATGACCCGGGGAATTACAGACCAGTCAGTCTCACCTCTGTGCCTGGCAAAATCTTGGAGCAGATTCTCCTGGAAGGCATGCTAAGGCACATGAAAAACAACAAGGTGCTTGATGACAGCCAGCATGGCTTCACTAAGGGGAAATCCTGCCTGACCAATTTGGTGGCTTTCTATGATGGGGCTACAGAACTGATGGACAGGGGTAGAGCAGTTGATGTCATCTACCTGGACTTGTGTAAAGTGTTCAACACTGTCCCACACGACATCCTTGTCTCTAAACTGGAGAGACATCAATTTGATTGATGGACCACTCAGTGGGTAAAGAACTGGCTGGATGGCTGCACACAAAGAGTTGTGGTCAATGGCTCAATGTCCGGCTGGAGAACAGTAAATGAGTGGCGTCCCTCAGGGATTGGTGTTGGGACCAGTCTTGTTTAACATCTTTGTCGCTGACATGGACAGTGGGATTGAGTGCGCCCTCAGCAAGTTTGCTGATGACACCAAGCTGTGTGGTTCAGTTGATACGCTGGAGGGAAGGAATGCCATCCAGAGGGCGCTTGACACACTTGTGAGGTGGGCTGGTGCCAACCTTATGAAGTTTAACCAAGACAAGTGCAAGGTCCTACACCTGGGTCGGAGCAATCCCAGGCACAGCTACAGGTTGGGCAAAGAAGAGATTCAGAGCATCCCTGTGGAGAAGGACTTGGGGGTGTTGTCCGATGGGAAAATGAACATGAGCTGGCTTCAGTGTGTGCTTGCAGCCCAGAAAACCAACCGTATCCTGGGCTGCATCAAAAGGAGCATGACCAGCAGGTCGAAGGAGGTGATCCTGCCCCTCTACTCTGCTCTTGTGAGACCTCACCTGGATTATTGTGTGCAGTTATGGTGTCCTGAACATAAAAGGGACATGGAACTGTTGGAACAAGTCCAGAGGAGGGCCACGAGGATGATCAGGGGACTGGAGCACCTCCCGTATGAAGACAGGCTGAGGAAGTTGGGGCTGTTCAGCCTGGAGAAGAGAAGGGTGCCTGGAGACCTCATAGCAGCCTTCCAGTATCTGAAGGGGGCCTATAGGGATGCTGGGGAGGGACTCTTCATCAGGGACTGTAGTGATAGGACAAGGGGTAATGGGTTAAAACTTAAAGAGGGTATGTTTAGGTTGGATATAAGGAGGAAATTCTTTCCTGTTAGGGTGGTGAGGCACTGGAATGGGTTGCCCAGGGAGGTTGTGAATGCTCCGTCCCTGGCAGTGTTCAAGGCCAGGTTGGATGAGGCCTTGGGTGATACGGTTTAGTGTGAGGTGTCCCTGCCCATGGCAGGGGGGTTGGAACTAGATGATCTTAAGGTGCTTTCCAACCCTAACGATTCTATGATTCTATAAATACTTAAAAGCCTTAAAGGACACAACTGAAAATGACAAAGGAACTAAGTATTTGAAACACATTTGTCCTTCTCACATTTTATATGGCATAGCTGTTGTGTTTAATGCCATAAGCGCTGGATTGCTCTTACTGAAGTTTCTACTTTTATCCCTGTTTCTCCAGTGTATGGGTGGTGTTTGATGTGTTGTATTTGAAAATATGAGGAACCTAATAGATTTTGCATTTAAGCAGAGAGGAGGACTGCTGCAAATACAGATTATTCTTGAAATGCATTCCTCCCGTAAGCTGTTAGCTTCTCATTTTGGATGCCACCCTCCAATCTCCATCCCCTGATGATGCCTTCAGGCATTTGTGCATATGGAACAACTTCTGCAGAAAGCTGTTTGATAACAGACAGCTGCAAATTCTGACCTTTTCTGGAGGTGCGTTGTGCAAATGCTGGCTAGGCAGCAGCTAATCCCTTTGCCTTCTGCCCAGCTGCCAGATCTTGCTGAAGCTTCAGGATGGCTCCTGCCCAGCCCTTGGGAAGATCTTCATGAACATGTTTGATCCTGCACTTTCTGTCTTCATTCAAACTGGCAATAACTTTGAGATTATACAGCAAGTCTCTTTGGCAATCACATGCTCCACTGAGATCTCGAAACTTGTCATTCTTCTGGTTTGCCTCTTCTCAGCTTCACAACTGAATGCTCTTAATTGTGCCACCTCCAGCTCTCTTCTAAGTCTTGAGGAGTTTAATTCCTTGGTTGCTTTCTCTCTTCATTCTGCATCTTATACATGAGTAAACTTGTTCATACACCATCTGCCAGGTGAATGCTAATGACTCCCAAACCTTCCTCTCAAGTTCAGATC